TAATACTCAGAGGCACCCCTAAGTATCTCACGGGTAGAGACCCTTTAGAGAAACCTAACACTAGTAGTATTTTATGTTGTATATCATCCCTGACTCCCCTAAAGAAGATGGAGCTTTTTTTAGCATTAGCAACTAATCCAGCAGCTTGACAGAACCCTTGAAAGCATTAATATAATAGTTGCACATATATAGCATCACCTCTACAAAAGAGCAAAAGATCATCAGCAAATCTAAGTTGTACTATGTTCATTTTAGCACACTTATGGTGATAGTTGAAATTTGGATTCCTATTTAATGTCTTCAGTAATCTGGTCAAGTATTCTATAGCCAATACAAATAGATAATGAGATAAAGGATTACCGTGTCTCAGTCCTTTTTAACATAGAATGGGGTTATATGATGTCCATTGATAATGATGGAATAAGAGACACTTCTCGCACATCTCATAATCCATTGGACAAATTTTCCAGGTATTTGCAAACTCGTTAGGACTTGTTCCATGTAATCTCATTCAATAAAGTTGTAGGCTTTCTTAATATCTACTTTTAACATGCATCTTGGGAATAAGCCTTTTCTACCATATCCTTTAACAAGTTCATGGCTCAGTATTATGTTATCATTTATCTGTCGCACAAAAATAGACTGATTTCTATCTACTAGATCATTCGTTACACCCTGCAGTCAGTTTGTTATCACCTTAAAAATGATTTTATATAGGAGAGTGCAACATGATATTGGTCTGTACTCAGTGATTCTGGATGTATTAGTCACATTTGGCACAAGAGTAATTGTTGTGCATTTGATAGGCTGATATATGTTAGCACTTGAGAAGAATTCCATCACTGTATATGTAACCTTGTCACCAACCAGAGGCCAGGTCTTTTTAGAAAATAGTGCATTGAATCCATCACAACCAGGTGCTTTGTTATCACTGATACCTAGCAGTGCCCGGTTTTTATTCCTCTTTAGATACATCTGTCACTAGTTGTAATTGTTGTTGTTTATTCACCAATGGACCATCCATTAATAGCAGGCAAATTTTAAGCTGATGGTCCTAATAGCTGCTTATAGAAACCAAGAACTTCCACTTTAATCTCTTGTTTTGTCTGCACCAATTCCCTATTGCTCCTTATTAAGCTTTTGATTTTGTTATGAGAGTGCCTATTTTTCATACTTGTAAAAAAATAAGTTGTGTTAGGATCTTCTAACTTCAACCATTGTACTAAAGATTTTTATTTCATGATACTTTCTTCCACCCCAAGCTATTTCTCCAGTTGTGCCTTTGTGTCATTTTCTATTATAATCATATCCTCAAATTGTCCAAGGTCCCTCATTTTCTCCTTAATTCACAAAGTTACTTCTTGCATTGTTTAATCTTGTCTCTTATTGCACTATACTCTGCATTATTAAGATGTTTCATAGCTTGCTTTACCTTTTTTAGTCTCTTTTACACATCCTTCATTATTACTCCATTGCCACACTCTACTAACTATGGATAGAAAGTCTTTGTGTTTTGTTAGATGGTTTGGAAACTTGAATGGTTTTGGATCTTTATCATCATTATCTTCAAAGTTAATGCTCAGAGGAGAGTGATCAGAGCAGACTGAAACCATTACCCTTACTTTTAGGTATGGTATTTGTAGCATCTACTCAACATTCACCAAGGCTCTATCTATCTTATTGTATGTGTGACTATTTGTCCAAGTGAAACTCCTTTCGCTGGTTCTCATTTCTACCAAATCAGTATCATCACTGAAAGTATTGAAGTCCCTAATCTCCAGTTTTTGCACAGGGTTCCCAATTGGTCGATCCTCCTCTGACGTGATAGCATTGTAATCCCCCCATTATTAGCTATGGGCCCTGTTGCACATTATTCCAACCAGCTAAGTCACCCCATAAGCATCTCATATCTTCCAGTGTATGCAGGCCATAGACTGCAGTAAAAGTGAATCTCATTTTCATACTTCTGATATGAACTGCAGCATGAATGAATTGAGAGGACTTTCCCAATTCCAAGAATTATATCTCGGTAGTATCCCATAGTAACCAAATCCCTCCTCTACTACTATGTTCATAGTTGACAAGCCAAGCCCACCCCAGAGTGATTTTTTGTATTATTTGTATGGCATTCTGCTCCTCTATTTTGTGTTCTAGTAATGTTATCATATTTATTCTATTGTTTCTTATAAACCTCTTAAGTTCTTTCTGCCTAGGATATTGTTCAATCCCCTAATATTCCATGTAACAAGCTTCATACAGGAATAAATAGGGGTTGTGGACACACTTCCTCTTCTTCTTGACTACTCTATCTACTTGTACCTTCTCCCATTTGCCTTGAAAATGTTAGCTGTAATCCAGATTTTGCCAATATATTGAAACTATTGATCATGATGATTGCATCATTCCTAGCTTCTCCTTGTTCCTAGCTACTAATTTCCATGTAGCTTTTTTCCAAGCATGTTCCTCCTCGCAGGTGAGCTTACAAGGTTATTGTTTGTATCCTTTGCACTAGTAGGCATTTTTACCTCACTACTATTGTTGGTTGTTATAGGTGGATGACTCACCTTATCATTTGGAATAGCTTTGGGCTGCCATACTTGTTTCTGCTTCTGCTGCTTAGGTCTAGGTTTAGGTGCTAGCTGCTCTCGTTTGTTGCACTTGTGTCCCACTTGCAGGCATGTATGACAAAACTCAGGGATCCAGTCATAAGCTACCTCCTGCATGAATTCTCTCCCATTAGGATAAGTCACCTTAATAGCTCTAAGAAGTTCTTTATTAACATCCATCTCAATTAGTACTCTAGCATAGGAGATTCGATCCAACCGAGTAGTACAAGCATCTGCATATAAGGGAATCTCTAGTCCACTGCTTATCTTGCTCAATGACTTTGCTCCCCAACAATTGAGTGGGAGATTAGGATACCTGACCCACACATGAATGGTTTGCAATATCTCTTTGTTGAAATCAAAATCAGCGGACCACACTTTCATGATAATCGGCTTATTATTTAGTATACGAGGTCTAGAATATGGAACTTCTTCTCTGTCATTTGTAGAGTTAAACCTTACTACAAAATACCCATCATTATGGAAATAGACTTTTGGTATTATTGTAAAATTTCATGCTGAAGCAATAAAATATTCTATAGCTCCTATGATTGGGGCTCCTCCAACTACATAGAGGGTCAAGGCTTGCTTCCATTTCTGTGTCTCCTCTTCCACTTCTTCCTTGCACAGTTCAACAATTACTTCACCATTTTTTATAGTTGGTGCAATGAAGCTTAGATCGATTCCTTTCGCTGCCAACCTGTTACCCATAAACAAATTTGCCCACTTCTTTTGGTCCTACTCTGCATTTTCAGTTGGTAATTTGTCTTGGCTTTTATCAGCACCCACCTTGTCCCCAATTTCCCCCAAATTTCTAGCAATTGCTACTGAATTGCTCAAATGCATCAGTTTGCCTTGAGCTAGGGTTAACATCCTTCAACTGATTTCCAGTAGCTATCTTCGCACTATCAATCGTCAGTAAAGGAATCGTAGAATGAGGTATTTTCATACCTTTCTTCGTGGCTGATAATGGTGGCCACTGTTTCATTGAAGTTTCCTCTGCATCTACGATATTAGCACTCTGAGTTCCAGTGCTTTGAGTGTTGTTGCTAGTCCCCGTATAGTCTACCAGCTGAATTGTGGTTGCATTTCTCTTCGCCCTACCCCTCCCCATTGCTAGCCAGCGTATGTTAGCAAGAGCACGCTATCATGCGCATGAGAGAAAATAGAGACAACACAACTAAATAACCTTGATATTTGTTACCTTTTATCGATAGATAGATCATGTAACTTTATTCACTAGTGTTTAGGCAAATAAAAATAAATTACCTAATGCGTCAAAAATTTGAGTCATACTTCTGCAATTTTAAGTTTTCTAGTTACTCCTGTACAAGCAACATTAGTTATGGATCTTATTAAGGAGCACTGAGAAGGACGATAAGAAGATGCTTTTAAAGACCACTTATCTAGCTCTAGAATAACATAAATGGAAAATTGCCATTCTTGATTCTTGAAGGATGTAAGTGGCATCTTCAATGATGTGAAATAAGTATTTGTTAGGAGAGAATTTTTATCCCACTCATTACCTTTGATGCATATGCCTAAACAAGCACTTGAAATTTTATTTACAAACTATAAACTTTGAACGTTAGCTATGCAAATTAATACTTAACAACCAAAAGGTAGATTTTCACCAAAAAACTAACACAACTTTTTAATAACCATTTACTGAAAAGCTGACCCAATATACAATCTCTTCTAAATATATGATAACTCATGAATTATCTGGCATATAATATTATTAATTCATATTCAAACTAAAAATGTAAAACGCCTTAAAAAGTTATAGAGGTGTTATCGATTGAATGATACAGTAAAATATTCATATCGCGGTAATATATGCAGTTTGTGTCCGACGTCCCGCGATGTTCCGAAAAGTCATTGAACTTTATCATTTAGAGGAGAGAGAAGCAATAATATATCTTGTGTTGAAAAAAATATATTAAGAAGGTAGGACAATTGTACTATAGCCTCGCATTTGATGTTCAGTTAGTCAAACATATCTTCTAGAAATAGAAAATGGTAATGCACTTCGAAGAGTGTTATACTCTATTCATTATGGAAGATTCCCAACTGAGAACTGAGATACCAAGAGTCTGTTTGGAAAATCACATGAGAATTGAAATTGGGTATAATTAACTGTAATTACATATTTTGGTATATTTGTTTGAACAAGTAATTATTGGTTGGTAAGATCATAATATATTTTCTTATTTTGTTATGAATGTCATAAATTACACAATTTTGTTTTTTCATAAATTACAAACTTAAATGATACATTGTGAGTATGTAATATTTTTAAGGGATGAATATAGTAGAATCAGCATATTTAAGGCATTATCCTAGTCATTTTCTCATACAGCCACTGTTAAAATAGAAAATGCTATTATCAATTTGACCAAAAAGCTGATAAAATAAGGATCCAAATGGCATTAGCAATCGGTCTCTTGCAATGGCGCTGAAACACTCGTTTATCCCGTCTTCTACTTGCTGTACATTACAGGTCAATCACTACTCCCATCTCCCTCACCCTGTTCCAATTAGAAAAAATCTCATATGCCTTAGACCATTCTCTCAATCATCCTTCCTTTCTTTCTCCAGCTCTTGCCTTCCTCATTCTACATCCTCTCCTCTTTTCCTTTCTTTTCTTGAAGAAGACGAACAAGAATCTGAAGAAGAACTTACTCTTTCAGAAACCGAGCAGCTAAAACAACCAGACAATGACCCAATTCGACGGTTCTTCCAGACCCGGACAGCAGACTTAGAATCCGACCCAGACCCAGGTCGCGAAGGCAAGTTATCATTTTCAAAGAACCGTAAAACATCTTGGCACCTCGCTTCTATCAATAGTTCAACTGAAAATGACGAGGACGAGGTCGAGAACATACCAAAATTACCTCTCGACACACTCTCAAGTCCTAAAAATGAGGGCGTTGTCAGTGAAATATTGGAAAAGGCGAGGAGTTTACCGGAAAATGTGACGTTAGGGGAGGTATTAGGGGAATTTGAAAGGAGGGTTGGGGCAAAAGAGTGTGAGGAGGTGCTGGTTTTGTTAGGAAATGAAGGTTTGGCTATTAATTGCTTGTATTTTTTCGAGTGGATGGGGCTTAATGAGCCTTCATTGGTTACACCTCGCGCTTATACGATTTTGTTCCCTATACTTGGGAGGGCTGGTATGAGCAAGGAGTTGCTAGTTTTGTTTAAAAACTTGCCTGAAAAAAAGGGGTTCAGGGATGTTCATGTTTATAACGCGGCCATTTCCGGGCTTTTATGCTGTAGAAGGTATGACTGAAAGCTTTACACTTGTTCTATTGTGTAGCTCGTTGGTTTTGATGTTTTTATTACTCAGATGGTTTGATACGTGTAATCACTGGTGGTGCTATGTTAAAGAAATGGGATTTGGAAAATTATATTGTACAAATAGGGCAAATTTGATGTTTTTTTTGGATTAGATATAAACTGTTGAATTCCCTTGACATAAAAGAAAATTCTAATGAAGTGGCTAAGGGGTTCATAAAATGCTAGTACATACTTTGAATTGCTTTTATAAATTCCTAGCTTTGCCACTGCGTGTAATGCCATGATGAGTTAGAGTACGTTTCGGGGCAACTGTCAATTATTTGGAGGTTTTTTTTGGTGTACCTCATTTGAGTTTTATATTGGTTGTTCAAAGGAGCTGACAACAGCAAATGCTCCTAGTGTATGTTGTCTTTTCATATGTTTTGTTCAAACGCGTGGTATATAAGAAAGTCTTGCAGTTTTTAGTGTCCATTTGGGCATGTTTACATCAGAGTATTATAGACAATGACATTACATCTTTTCGAATACATCTTTGTGGTAGTTACTTATTTTCCTTTTACTCCTTTTATTAAAGGTATGATGATGCTTGGGAAGTTTTTGAGTCCATGGAAACAAATTCTGTCCAACCAGACCATGTGACAACTTCCATTATGATTACAATTATGAGGAAACGGGGCAATAGCGCCAAAGAAGCTTGGGAGTTATTTGAAAAGATGAACGGAGAAGGTGTGAAGTGGAGCTTGGAAGTAGCAGGTGCTCTGATTAAATCCTTTTGTGATGAAGGCCTGAAGAAGGAAGCTTTAATTGTCCAGTCAGAAATGGAGAAAAAGGGAATATCTTCTAACGTCATTGTCTATAATACTCTGATGCATGCTTACTGTAAAGCCAACCAAATTGAAGAAGCTGAAGGTCTCTTTGATGAGATGAAGAGGAAAAAAATTGCACCTACCTCGGCTACTTACAATATTTTGATGGATGCATACAGTAGGAGACTGCAGCCTGATGTTGTTGAGAAACTGCTACTGGAAATGGAAAATGCTGGTTTGGAGCCAAATGTTAAATCGTATACATGCCTGATCAGTGCCTATGGAAGACTGAAAAAAATGAGTGACATGGCTGCAAATGCATTCTTGAGGATGAAAAAGGTTGGTATAAAACCGAATTCTTACTCTTATACAGCTCTTATCCATGCCTATTCAATCAGTGGGTGGCATGATAAAGCTTATACAGCTTTTGAGAACATGCTAAGGGAGGGAATAAAACCCTCGATAGAAACTTATACTGCTCTGCTTGATGCATTTAGACGTGCTGGTGATACCCAAACACTCAAGAAAATTTGGAAAATGATGATCAGAGATAAAATTGAAGGGACAAGGGTGACATTTAACATTCTACTCGATGGATTTGCTAAACAAGGTTGCTATGTTGAAGCAAGAGATGTGATTTGTGAGTTTGGGAAGCTTGGTTTACAGCCAACAGTAATGACTTACAACATGCTGATCAATGCATATGCAAGAGGAGGACAAGAATCAAGGTTGCCGCAGCTTGTGAAGGAGATGGCAGCACTTAATCTAAAACCTGATTCTATTACTTATTCCACAATGATATATGCCTATATCCGTGTGCGGGATTTCAAGAGGGCATTTTATTATCACAAGCAGATGGTGAAAAGTCGGCAAGTGCCTGATGCTGAATCATATGAGAAGCTCAGGGCAATTCTGGATGTAAAAGCTGCCATAAAGAACAGGAAGGATAAGAGTGCTTTAATGGGAATAGTTAGAAGCAGTATGGGCTTATTGAAAGAGAAGAAAAAGGGAAAGAAGGATGAGTTCTGGAAAAATAGAAAAAGAGGATCAAGATTTCAAGGAGGACAGTAATAGCTATATTCTTTGGCTTTTCATAACTGTATGTAGGTTCGATGAATTAGCTTAGTATGTTCCTATCTCTTTTGGTGGTCAATCTTCAATCCAGTCTGATTGAGTATGCTCTTATGTACAGTTGTGTTCAACTTTTTGGCATAGAAGAGAAAACACTGAAATAAATGCTTTAGGACTTGTGAAACTCTACATTAGCTAGAGAGTCGAATCCGCAGGTAACCAATCATTTGCAGTCAGAGACTCCTAATTTGATGCTGTTACTGTAGATTGCTTCCTCTAATAGATTTATCTTGCCGTCAGAGACTTCTAGTTAGATGCTTTTACTGTAGATTGCTTCCTTTAATAGATTTATCCATTTCTTGGGGCCAGCTTTGTTTTTCTGATGTCTGGTTTCTCTTGATTAAACTCTACATTTGTCTATATTCATGTTAGATTGATGACAATCTTATTGGATGAAAATCTGATGCCACACCTATATTTACACATTTGTTCTGATTGGTTACTGGTTAGTACAATAGTACTGCCTGAGAAGCTGTTTCTTAATTTCTTGTCCTCTTAGGAGATGAAGGTGCTCCTAGTATAATAAAAGGATAATATCATGAGAATTCTCAGAGCCTAAAATGAGGTCATAACTCATTTGGAACCTACAGGCAAATAGGCAAATATTCTGTCCCTCAGATGTAAAAAAGGTTCTGTTGATTGAATTCCTTCCCGCCTATATCTTTTGTTAACGGTTATCTTTCTCGTGGTGGTTTACCATTATATTGCATTTTGTCCTTTCTTGTTGTACAACTAGCAAATTGCTTAGACCAAAATTGTAGAATAGGCTTACACAAATTTATGATGAATGCACATGGAGCTTGTCGGTTTTGCACTTATTCTACATAGAGATGGTTTTTCACTTATTCTACATAGAGGTCTATAATGAAAGACAAAGAGGACTCTCCTTTCTGATTTTCCAGTAATGGCAATGTCCTTGGAGGGGTGCTTGTCATGCTTCGTGCATATTAGACAAAATTCAAGATACGATTGTGTGAAGTCAGATTTTTATTACAGGACATAAGGTACAGTGAGTGAATCTTCAGTCTAGAAGAATTTTTGTCATATTATAGTGTCAAAGACTGCTTACCCTGTCTTAGAGATGAAGACTAGCAAGCTTAGAATTGAACAGTTCCTAGAAAGTCAAGATTGGGGGGTATCATTAACATTAACAAGGTGAGGTGAAGTAGCTGGGAACACTGCACATGTCATATATATATATATATATATATATATATATATATATATGCTTTATTTTTATATGCTGGATATTGCCTACTTCTAGCTTATGTATCGTTCTTATTCATTTGGTTGAGGATAACATGGCATGTGAAATGAAGAGTTTACGTTTGCAATGAACCATTGTTTCTTTTACTGAGTGAAAATTTATTGCCTGAGCATCACTAAGTTTAACAGGATATCGATCATAGGCAGTTACCTTGAAGATTGTCATGGTTCAATTGATCCTATCAGCTGTAGCTAGCGTTAGCTCAAGGGTGAATTGCGTTTGAAGTGTTGGGAAAGACATGAAACTCGGACTAATGACTATCAGTATGTTACTTGGGAGTTCAACAATCAGTCATGGTAAAAACTCTCTTAATGTTTTATCATCTGTAGCTAATGTTAGAGCACAAGTTCAAGCAATGCAATTCAAGAGTAAGCAATAGCTTGATACTCATGCTCCACATTGGAACAACTCGAGCATAGCATGAATATCAGGTCGAAAACACAAGCAATTACCCATGATCAATTCGCTACAACGGGCAAGATTATTAAATGCTCAAAACTATTATCTCTCAAGTCGAAGCTTAATTTCTTAGACTCAGCGTACGGCTTGGTTAGGAAGCCTTTCAAATTGTATTTTTTCCCATCATTCTTCATTTCTCATGTATATTTGTTTTATATTCTTACATAGGATTTTTTTACCTCTTTTGTAAAGATTTCTGTTGTCCTAGTCCGGAACCTTGGACCTAACTCACCAATAGCTTGCCCAAGACCATATACCATATCAATTTCTTCATCCCATTTTGCTCGTAGTAACGGCTAGCGAAATGGGAGCAACCTAATTAAAGTTCAGTAGCCGAAAGTATAACTAGCTTATGTTCTGATCCGAGTAGCATAGGGTACCTGAAATCCCGTATGAATAAACAAAGACCACCTTGCAAGCAAAGCCAAATGTAGTATAACTTTCGGCTCAGAGTAAAAATTCATTAAAATTGCAAAAATAATAGACTTAAAAACCTTAAAAGTTGAACTCATACAAAATTACTCCCGAGCGACTAATAGGGAAGTAGTGAAGGAAGGGTGAAAAGAATAGTTTATTCTATTATCTTTTCCAAATAATATACTCTCTGCTTCAATTTAGATGATACATTTTTCTTATTAGTCCGTTCCGAAAATAATACACATTTCTACAATTGGAAATAATTCAACTTTAAACTCTTCGTTTTACCCAATTTACCTTTTAACGAGAAACTTTTATAACCATACAAATATCATAGCCCCACAAAACTTTTATCGTTAAGCTTTTAATATAGTCAAACTAGCTGATCTAATTTGAAACGGAGGGTTTACAATTTTATGCAGTTGTTTAGTATTCTCTTCATTCTCAAAACAAAAATTAAAACAGTAAAATAGAAATTAAGCATGAGTTGTACTTCTACTACCTTACTCGGCAGTCGGAACTGGGAACACATACGTTTCGGCGTACTGCTCAATTGAACGCCGGTAGACGTAGCCCGCATCTCAACCTTAATCTCAATCAATGGTTAGCGAAAATCAAGACCCGACTATTCGGATCCTCTGCCGGAGGCTTCAGATTATCAAGAACGAATCGGGTCTTCAATGGCTCATCGGCTCTCCATTCTTCCCTCACTATGCCATTATCTCTACCTTCCGATGTATCCACACTACCCCCTCCAATCCTCTATCGCCGGATTTCTCTAAAGAATCAGGTAGTCAACGATGTCTAATTTCAGCGAATTCAATTCATCGACTTTCTTTTTGTGTAGGATTTTAATTATTTATTCTGTTTTTCTAATTGAAAGATGATATAAGAACGCTGCTTCCGAAGGGTTTTGAAGTTATTGGAGCTTTAATTCTCGAAAAGGACTGCAATTTTATCAAAATCGCGGAGGAGGCGATTAATGCAGCTTGTAATTTGAGGAAAAGTTTGGCGAGTGATGAAAATTTGGGGAATCTGGAGCTGATCGGTGCTGTGGTGGATTTGAATAACGTTAATGATATTCGTTTTTTCTTGTCGAAGGATGGGAAATTGGGTAGTCTTCAGAGTGTTAGTTCCATTATGTACGAAGAAAAGCCTGAAAAGTATATTTGGGAAAGAGGTTGTTTGCTTCGGTGTGCTCTTCATGTAAAATTGCCTCTGTATTATAATACTAGTAACCCTAATGGTAAGTGCTTCCTTAATTTTATTCCTGCATAAGTTCATAGCCCTTTCATCTTTCTATTTGTTTAACTTATTAATGCTTTTACTGGATAGCAGTAGCTGAGCCAGGATTTTCACTAAGGGGTGTCAAAACTTTAAAGAAGTAAACATATGAAAGTCAAGGGGATTCAACACACATAAAAGGAAAACTTTTACCTATCGAAACAATGTAATTTTCTGGCGAACCCCTTGGAGCCATGTGGCTCCGCCACTGCTGGATAGTGCTAAGTTCTGTCAGATTCAAGTTATTCTAGCCATTTGCTGGACAATTTGGTGTACTATGTTTTCTTCTGTACTTCTCCTTTTTACTTAAATTCAGAAGCTCAGAGTGAGTATTGGTAGAATTATTGGTATTAAATGTCTCCTGATATTGGCTGTTTATACTTTATAGTCATGAAATTTGATCGTGTTTGAATGACTCAATGGTAAATTTATATAGAGCTGGATATTAACAACCAGCAGACTTTACAAAATTGAAAATGGAAGAGTGTTTCCGAAAAAGAACAAGAGCTACTTTAATAAGAGAAAAATAGAGGTCAGTAAAAAGGAATGCAGGAGCAAATTATGATGTTCATGATCTTTCCCATTATGAGCAATATCCCAGCCTCACTAAATCGTTTTACTGATAGGTGCACTACCATTGCATTGGAAAAAACATTTGCAGCGTGAAAGAGGAAAAATAAGATAGACAATTGAAAATTCTCTTGCCTGATATTTGTTATTTCTTGTAACATTATTTTTGGAGCTTCTTTGTGGCGTTGTTTCATGGATGTTCTTGAAAGCATTGCTGTACGAACGCTTAATGGGGCTCTATTCCACAAACTTGATGATTTTTGCATTCTGATAATGTGAAAATGGACTCTTGTTTCTGGCCAAGTCACAAAAGTAAGCAACTCCACCAGTTTAGTTGTGGATTAGTAATGCAAGATTCTTCTTAAGTCTTTATCTCTTAAGAATCCAAATTTAATCATTCAGTGATACGAGGGTGAACGAGAAGCATGTGGAAAACTAACATTAATAACCAAAGCAAGAAAGAATTGTCAAGGAATGCCATCTTTTTAGTGTTGATACTGTAAGTCTAGAGTTATAATGAAACCTATCACATAGCAAGAATTGCCAAAATCATAATACAAATAGTATTTTTGTGGCATTTCGTATATGGTTTCTAGTTGACCAATATCTAGAAAGATTAGGCAACCAAGACGTGATTACTCTATAATCATTTTCAATCTTTTACTTTCATTGTTATGAGTTTCCAATCAAAGGATGTTTACATGAAGATAATCTAAATGAAGAGATCTGTTGTCCTTATGTATCTTCTGTATTTAATAGTGCAACTTTTCTCAGTACCTACAGTAGATCATTATGAATCACAACCTAATCGATCTTTCAAAGCTTTGCTTTCCTACATTATATATCAGAATTAGTAGTGTGCGTAAGATATGCATGCATAGCCATACAGTTCCTAGTTGCTGCCTAAAACTTGTTTTGTTTGCAGATGTACATGAGATATATATGCGTGCAGCTGAAGCTGTTGCTAGTAAATTCAAAGACCCACAAGTTACTTGCCTAATAGAAGCTTTAGATGAAACTTCAAGTGGTGCTGTTGTTCTTCGTGGTTCAGACCTGAACACATATAGTTCAAATTCTTCCTCTGAACTTAAAGATTCTGATATGAAAGCTTTGTTATGTTCATACTTCTTTTCAACGAGTAAAGATATTACCTCATTTTCTTCAATAGAGAAGGTATATTTCACCTCAAATTTCAAATTCTATTATAGTCAAAGTTCAAATATGATTTCTTGAGTCCATCAAAATTCAGTTTTTTAAATTGAAAATTTTAATAATTAATTTACTTCAATTTGTTGTGGGCTGGTATACAACTGTATTAAAATGTTTGCTGCTTAGAATGCAGATAAAATCCAAGTAAGCTTTCTGCTTAATAAATCAATAAATTCTGCGAAACCTTCTGTACCTATTGCTGAATATTATCCAGGTATGATCTTTTGATGGATAATTCTGGCTTGTATTTCTTTTATTTAATATTCAATTATGCTATTGTGTGAACATATAGATGAAAATAACTTGGTCGAGTTTGTCTCCCCTAATCAGTTTGTGACTTCTTTTCTTTCAGCCACCCAGGAAACTGAACTTCTGGTCGTAGGTCATAAACTTGAAGTGCTTTGTTATGCGGCAAAAGATCTATCATTGGCTTATAGCGTATCAAAGTTGGTCATCCCTGCACTACTTGACCAGTTACACTCAATGAGGAAAGTTATCATGCCTGACCTCTTAAAGGGGCATCCGGAGGTGAGACCATTATATCATTTCTCCTGTCATATTCAACTTTGCTTGAAAACCGAATTGCTGGGTGATCCACTGCTGTATTATTACCAATTTCAAGTCTTTGTTCTTCTCTTCTTTTTAATATGGGGTTGATGTTGTTCGGGATGTGGGTCGGTTTGATTCATCACATAATATGTTTAGTCAGTGTTAGGAGTAATGTTTAACTAGGACAGATTGTGTGGACAGAGCTACAAAATATGCAATCAGAGGAGATGTCCTATCTCGTAAACTTGGACTTCCTTTAGAGTTGGTAAATAAATGAATTCCTATAACATCAAACTCCATGACTCAAAGCTATATGGTATGGGTTGTCTTCTTGGAAATTTCTGCTGTCTAATCATTTTGGCATGGTTCAAATCAAACTTCAGTAAGAAGAGTGTTTTAGAAATTCTCTATAGAGTTTTTCTGTGGGACTCTGGATTCTTAGTTGTCTATTGTAAGTTGAAATTTCTGAAATAGAAGTGACAGCTAAAAAAGTAGGTTGGAAAAATATGAGGATACAAGTGTCAAGTATAGAGGAAGTTACAGAGTATACTGGGCAGTATGTCCATAGATTGCCACGTACAGTACACTGGTCAAAGGGAGAAGATAAATAACAAAAAGGGGAAAGGAAAGTGGTTTATGGATAGCATTTGCACGGTCATTTTTGGTTTACTTCATCTAGTTCTATCCTTATTATAATATTGTGCATCTTCTATGGTACTTCAGAGTCCTTCCTTAATTTTGCTTGTGATTTTCAGTAACAGCTCTTTTCTTTGAAAAAGAATTTGTTATTCATTTAAGCTTATGAGTTTACATGTACCTTCAAACGATTTTTTCTGTTTTACGTTGTTAAACTAGCGACACTCTATTTCCACGCATTTCAGTCCCAGAAGTTAACTGGTGCTTCTGTTAATTTTCTTGCAGTTGCATCCATATCACTTCCTTCCTCCAGGACTTTTACATCCGATTACAGTCTTATATGAACTTAGTTATGGTGAGACAGAACTGAAGCAAGGTGAGGTCACTTGAAGCTTGGGATAACTTTGAATTATTGTCATTCAGCTAAACAAATGTGTCTCACACACTGAAGCTTGTTTTATGGCAGTTGAAACAAGAAGATCCCTTCATTTGAGACTTGGGCTACCTTTTGATCGCCCTCTTCTTAGAATTTCAAATGCTATTGATCTAGTAGGGAAGAAGAATACTGGCAGCTCAGTCCAGAAAGGTAAAGCGTCAATATTATATATAAATATGTTTAACATGGCTTTTTGCTCATGCTTGGGATGATCTCCATCATTTCATGGCCTTATCAGGTTCTTCTTTGCTTAAGGATGTACATTTGGGGATTCCGTGTAGTGGTGGTGAGTAGTTATGTGTTTCTTCTTTTCTCCAACCAGTACAGAATTATAATTTTTCTTGTGCTAACATCGTCAGACACTCTGCAGTTTCTGGAGGTGTCTCCTCTCTGGTTCAAGGTTCTTATGAGTACTACCATTACCTCCATGAGGGACTTGATGACTCGGTAATAAATTTTCGTTCTGAAGGCTCTGTAGGTTAAATCTTTTACTGTGCACCCTAATATGTTGTTTTAGCTCAACATTGTGATGCAATTTGCTTTCTGTATTTTTTGGCTCCAGATATATCTTTACTGTTCATTGTTTGCAAATGTTCATATGTTTGTACTTCTCGATTTTTTTATATTTGGTTTCCTTGGTTCTAAAGTTTTTCTTTCACTCCCACTTGTTTTAGATTTATCTAATTGCATGGGTTACTGTTGGATTGCAGAATACTGAGTCAGTTAGCTTATTTATTAGTCAAAATTATATTTATACTAACATTATATACCTCACAGGGGTGGGGCTGTGCTTACCGCTCTCTGCAGACAATCATTTCTTGGTTCAAGTTGCAAAATTACACCTCGATTGATGTCCCATCACACAGGTATCGTGTAGCTTCTTTAGCTACAGTGATTAAAATACCTTTCTTTTAATATGTGATTGGTTTAACTGACCGTACTTTTTGTGATGCCTTTAGGTTAATACTTCGTACATGCATGTGATTCTTGGCTTGCTCAGTGTTTTTCTCCTTGGTTCGCAGCTCCCTCTTTTTAAAACAAGAGACTGCTAGATATAAAAGTTAGCAGACTCCAGTTGCAATAGCTTCAAAAGGGATAGCTTAATTAGAGCACTGAAATACGGCCTCACTGATCTGATGAAAATTGTAATTCAAACATTTTATGAACCAAGGATGATTCAAAAGAGAGAATAAAAGGAGCCACCTAAGAAATCCACATACTAGGGTATAGCCTCTTTCCACTGCACAAGCAAGTAAAATGCAACTTGTTATCTTGCAGATAGCATCGCTGTACCCTCAAAGGCACACCTATTTCTTTCTTTATAAATAGTACATATAATCATAACAGGTCTGCCTTCAGCAACACAGCAAAAACATTTTAACATCAGTGGCTACTTTGCAGTGAAAACAAACAGAACACAAGGAGTACCATCTATTGCATAGAGCAACATAAATCATGGTTAAGATTACAACCAGGGTTTTTCTACTGAAAAGCACCAGCTAATGTGCACATTCTGATAGTAGTTAGAAAATATTATCAGAAAATTTATCTTGTTCTTATGAAGTGCACATCCTGATAGTAATCACCTGTAATATGTGCTTTAGTCATAAATGAAGATCCAATTCTTCAGTAAATTTATATTGTTCTGAAAATGAATTGCATATTCTTCCAGGGAAATACAGCAGGCACTTGTAGAGATTGGTGACAAAGATCCTTCATTTATAGGGTCACATGAATGGATTGGGGCCATTGAACTCAGTTTTGTCTTGGATAAACTAATTGGAGTAAGTTTGAACCTATCTAGAAGTGTTTATAAAAATACCTAGTGAGCTTTGGTTTAGATGAATTTTATGCATTTGACTATCCTTTTCATTCTTTAGCTGTCAGCTTTGCTCCACTTTGAACTTTTCAACCGTTTTGTAATATTTCGTTGCTTTATAAACATGTTTGACCTTAAATTACTATTGTGGATAGGTTAGTTGCAAAATCATAAATGTAAGATCTGGAGCTGAGCTTCCTGAAAAGTGTCGAGAGTTGGCATTGCATTTTGAGAATCAAGGAACTCCAGTCATGATTGGTAGGTCTTACAGTTATTGTAATATGCTTAGGGCTGTAGATGGAGTGGTAGTTGTGATTCCTGCTTCTGTATAAACTTGTTCGTTAAACAAAGTCAGAACACTATNGTTCTGAAACTGAATTGCTTATTCTTCCAGGGAAATACAGCAGGCACTTGTAGAGATTGGTGACAAAGATCCTTCATTTATAGGGTCACGTGAATGGATTGGAGCCATTGAACTCAGTTTTGTCTTGGATAAACTAATTGGAGTAAGTTTGAACCTATCTAGAAGTGTTTATAAAAATACCTAGTGAGCTTTGGTTTAGATGAATTTTATGCTTTTGACTATCCTTTTCATTCTTTAGCTGTCAGATTTACTCCACTTTGAACTTTCAACCGGTTTGTAATATTTCGTTGCTTTATAAACATGTTTGACCTTAAATTACTATTGTGGATAGGTTAGTTGCAAAATCATAAATGTAAGATCTGGAGCTGAGCTTCCTGAAAAGTGTCGAGAGTTGGCATTGCATTTTGAGAATCAAGGAACACCAGTCATGATTGGTAGGTCTTACAGTTATTGTAATATGCGTAGGGCTGTAAATGGAGTGGTCTTTGTGATTCCTGCTTCTGTATAAATTTGTTCGTTAAACACTACTTGCTTAGCATTTTACCATGCTTGCAGGTGGTGGTGTTCTTGCATACACTCTCCTTGGCGTGGATTATAATGATGCAACTGGAGATTGTGCTTTCCTTATACTGGATCCTCATTATACTGGTAATGATGATATCAAGAAAATAGTAAATGGTGGATGGTGTGGGTGGAAGAAAGCTGTTGATAGCAAGGGAAAGCACTTTTTCTTGCATGATAAGTTCTATAACCTTCTGCTTCCTCAGCGGCCTAATATGGTCTAGTTAACCTTCAAAATACTATTGGCACAAGACTATGTTCAGATAGACGGAGCCAGTCTCTCTCTGTGCTGGGGGTTGAGTCGAGTTGAGTGATCTACTTGTGCTTTTTATCCATTCCAGCCGTGGAGGGTAGGGCTTCTATCCTTTTTGCTCTTGGAGGTTGAGGCTTTACCGGGAGCTATCTTTATTTTGTTGACCTAAAATGAGAAGTTTCAATCTGGAGCTTTAGATCCTCTCTTACAGATAGAAAATTTTGTCTCAGATGACAATGAATGATGGTCTGGAGTCAATTATGACTTCCTTTGTAGTCAAATTGATCTCATGATATAAGTCATAACTAAAAGCATACATTTTGTCCAGTTATGGGTTTCTGGTAGAATACAAGTAACGTTTGACCCGGTTCACTATACAGATTAGGTATGCTCTGCACAGTTTGATTACTGAGACTGATTCATTGTCAATCAACTTATATACCGTGAACTTGTAAGTATCATGTAGAAAGTGGTAATTGCGTGTAGTTGTCGTATATCAAGACAAGCAGCATACACGGCCTTAAACCATGTTGTTAGTGTCGATTACAACAATGGAAAGACAGATCTATCTTCACTTTAAGAATCAATAAGACAAGACAGATCAGTAATTACCTCCGTCTCCTATCATCGCTTAGAATGGAGAGGCTGTTGATGTCGTTACTTTTAACTACAGTGCTCAGCGTAGGTGGTCATGCTAGCTGAGGGCCTTCGAATATCAGGACTTCGATAAATTTCACTGCCTACAATTCTATAAATTCCTCGCTGTGTTGGAATGCATCAATGTCAATTACCTATTTACATTTTTCCTCTCCAGAAAATGAGAGGACATCTGCGGAGTATCTAGTGCAAAATGCTTTTAGGTTTCCGTGTGCAGTGAGATTGTTAATTTAGTCATGTCACTTCTTGAATGGTTATTTATATCGAGGAATCTCGTCTAGGAGCCCTTGCTGTTCTTGAACATAGAGAGGTACATCAGTCTCACATTCTATTTGCACCATCTATTTAGCATTTTTAGGAGCAGTTGGAGTTTTTTTTAGGACAATCATATCCAAATAGTCTAGTATTAAACTCAATCTATTCAACTATTTGAAACACTAAAGGATACACAGAAATTCCGAATTCCAACAATTAGAATACTAACTAGCCATAAACACCGAATTTGTAAGCTAGTACATAGGCAGAAACAATGTAATATAACCCCGAAAAATGTGCTTAAAGAGACTTAATGCAATATCTGCAATCCTTAGTACCTATAATGTGGTGGCTTGTATGGACCCTCGGTTGGAACACTAACATAAGCAGCTTGCTCAGGTGTCAACTTGGTTAACTTAGCTCCAAGCTTTCCAAGGTGAAGGGCTGCAACCTTTTCATCAAGGTGTTTTGGCAGAACATAGACCTTCTTCTCATATTTGCCTGTTGCCCTTTCATTCCAAAGCTCAAGTTGAGCAATCACCTGATTTGTGAAAGAGCAAGACATCACAAAGCTAGGATGCCCAGTTGCACAACCAAGATTCATCAAACGGCCTTCAGCAAGGACAATAATGCCAGTTCCGGTTTCAGGAAATACCCAGCGGTCTGTTTGGGGCTTGATAGTAATGCGCTTCACACCCGGGTATGTTTCAGACCATGCATATCGATTTCATTGTCAAAGTGGCCAATGTTACATACAACGGCATTGTTCTTCATCTTTCTCATTTGGTCAACCATGATAATGTCTTTGTTCCCAGTGGTTGTCACAAAGATGTCAGCCTCCGAGACAATATCCTCCAAGGTAAGGACCGGAATTTGATTATAAATGCTTGAAGAGGATAAACGACATCGTATACTCTTGGATTTTGGCGGGCTGTCTTATTAGCGTGACACGTGAGTTTATATTTTATTCAACCGCGCTAATTTTCATTATCTTTATTTATTTATTTTTCTTCTTTTTACTTTTCGAATAGGGCAGGGTTCAACTAGTTAATGATTCTACTAATTTTTACTGTCTTATATACTGGCAAGGTCATTTATAGTTCACATGCTAATTATGTAATACAGGAGTTAATTAGTTATGCAGTTAATATATGAATGAATAATAATATAAGGATAGTTATGTAGATACAAAAGACTATCTGCTATAGGAGCATTTCTGTTTCACATATTTTATGCTAATGCATATATCTTTACTTCACATTATATTATGCATAAAATAAAATATACATTCTCATATAACTTAGTACGAACATTTATACCATCAACCAAATGATACATCAGCCACACAAGATTTTTTTTTATTTATTAAATGGGCAATAAAACAATTATACAGAAGTTATTTTTTCTATCTTTCCAACCAAACAACCCTGTAGTGTTCTGAAATTGCTTTGAATTAACCAAGTATTCTGTCCTTTTTACAAAAAATACTGAAGCAGCAAAGTTGTTTTTGAACCAGAAGATGGTAACCTGACTGCAAGAGGATGGGATAGAATTAATGAATTATTCTGTCTGAAAAGATGTTGAGATCTTCAGTCACTAGTTCCAATTCATGGGGTCATCAGTTGATTTACAAGCACAGTCCAGAATAATTTTCACCCAACAGAACAAAGAGAACAAGCTACAACTACCTATGCATTGAACGATTGAATTGTGCCAAAACTATGTTCAGCAACATAGTAGAGGATATCAAGATATCTTCATAACTGCAATTTCATTCAGATTACGTTTTGAGAAGTACTGGCTCTATGTACAGAAAGTTAAATTCAATAGGGTTCTCCAGAGAGGGCTACCGTGAAGCACCATGTATGTTAACTTCTGTTAGCGCTAAGTATAACCAAAATACTTAATCATGTACATCTCTGAAAGCTATGTTGCACTCTCAATTGTTTTCACTGTTCATGTTCTTCCACATTGCTAGTTTGCAGCAGAATAAGGTAGAATCCACTCTTGGTGTGGATTTTCATGCTGATGTTTCAGCTGCCAAGCCTGCATCATCAAGAATTATCTATTAGTAGTCCAAACTTATGGAGATGTTGATCTTACAGATACTTCTCAAGTATGATCTCAATCAGCAATGTAAATGGCAAAAAAATATCAAGATGGTTAAGCCAGAATGTTTAGCTAGAATCTTTAACTAAGGGTCTATCGGAAACAGCCTCACTGCCCTCCCAAGGTAGGGGTAAGGTTGCGTAGATCCTACCTTTCCCGGACCCCACTTGTGCTACCCTTCCCGGACCACACTTGTGGGAATCCACTGGGTGGTTGTTGTCATATGGTTAAGCCAGAAAATACGTGGGACTATGTTCCTTTCAGAAGGCATGATTCAATTTGGTACAAGCATGCATCTATAAAATGTAAATTATAAGGTACCATGGTTACCTTCCTGAAGGGTAACAGAGCTGATCTCCAACAACGCGACCTTGACTCCTTGGAACTGTTGAGAAAGAGAAGCATCAAACTACATTTCAATTTAATGTTGAAGAACAGAAAATAATACGGGGCTTAAACAGTGACCTTCCTTGATAAAAGAGCAGTTCATGTTACTGAAAGATTCGTTCACACAATATTTAGGCACTCGCAAGTGATTACTAATAGAGCGCTTGCTACAGATTACTTTTTCCTTTTAAAACAACCCCATAAACGTGAACTCAAACATTTAACCCCATTTTGCTTCGAGATTTCTCATACTAAGACATCCAACAAGGCATCATGCAGCTCTAGATCCAGCCATAAGAATATATACTGGTCCATTACAAATTACATAGTTAGATTTAGGTTATCAATACCAACATGAATTTGGTACCATCAATTTGTGGGTTTCACAGTTCACACGCAACATGTAAAAGCAAACTGAAATTTGAGATCAATAAAAAGATCGTCTTTTTATAAGGGAGATCACAAATGGAACTTCATAGCAAAAAAAGTTGTATTAAGAAGAAAATTTTAGAAAAATTATTTTCCAAAGACATAAGATACTTACAAGTCTGTATTCCCAGAAGAGTGCTTGTTTGAACTGCTGCAAGGAATGTGGTTTTGACAAGGTGTTTTGCTGGGAATGGATAAAACCAAATTGTTTTGTGGTTGGGTAATCGAAAAAGTCATATGAGATGCATTCGATGAACTTGATCTCCTTAGAAGTCCTACTGTTCTAGGAAAACAGCTTGGTTTTTTCTCCGACACTATGGTAAATGAATCCCGGCATCGGCAAGTACTTCCCTCTTTCAAACAAGATTCCAACTGATGTGTTAGCAGGGAACCATCTGTCAATAATATCTGAGGTGTATCTGATCCAATGCTTAGTGCATTTCCGTCACTGGTTCTTATGGTCATAATTTCTTTGCCATGACAACATATTTGAGAGTTTTGAGAAAAACACTCAGAGGAACATGTTTCAACAACTTTATCCACCATTATGACTCTTTTAGAAGCAGAATCGGAGTTCTCTGATGGTTCACTTTTACATTCCATCTTGGAAAGTGACTTATAAGGCTTGCCACGTGAACAATTAAAAAGTCTAAAAGTCAACCTTTTCATTCTGGAATACTTTTTGAGGAAACAGCCAGGAACAAGATTGATTCTGATTTCCACATTGCAGCATAGTGTTCGCTGAAGCGCATTTGCAATGGGTTTCCATGATTTCTCAGCCTTTGATATGTCTTTGGGGCAATAGAACTCCAGTTCAGCAACTGCCAAACCTGGAACATGGATTGCAAGATATTTATGACAGAAAGAGAACAGTTTAACCGTGTAAGACAACATTCAACAGACAGAGAAAGCATCTGGTTTGCTTGGATTAAGTAATTTGAAATTATGAGGTTGGAGAAACAATCAAAGAGGAACAAAAAGTTGAACTACAAGGAACTCGATACTCATAATATAGCTGCTTTGGTAACATTCAACAGACAGAGAAAGCGTCTGGTTTGCTTGGATTAAGTAATTTGAAATTATGAGGTTGGAGAAACAATCAAAGAGGAACAAAAAGTTGAACTACAAGGAACTCGATACTCATAATATAGCTGCTTTGGTGCCAATACATCTTTTCATTGTCCTCTACTGTTGGACTCCAGCATGCAAATTTTGAATTACAAAAGTTTATTAATCCTCGTAATGGAAACTACAGTTTCTTTGGTAAGATTTTCTCAAAGATCCATTTAGATTTTTTCTTTGCATGCAGGGTTTGGATCATAAGCTCAACATGTTGGGGAGAAGGGAGGAATTGTGTGGAGCTTGTGTGGAGACATACTTTGAAAATTTTGTAGATGCGCTCTCTGAAATGACTGTACTCTTAAGTTTATGCTGAAATATATCTAACCTAAAAAATCAAGATTTAGGTGTAGGAGGTTTGAAGGTACCAAGAACTTGAATATGTAGTTAAAAAGGACGGATGAAATAAAAAAGTAAAGGGCTCTGTACCCATGGAAAGCACATTGTGTACC